CCAGCAGGACCAGGCAGTGTTTCCTTCTGCCCCTGGGGACTCGATGCTAACTTGTTCTGTGATGGGAATGTCCCTCCTTAGAGCCAGCTTCAGCCGGACCTCTCGGGGAACTCAGGGAAGCATGCTGTGGAAGTGACTGCTGCCCATCCAGTCACATGCTCTCCACAAGGAGGGGCGACAGCTCTCAGAAACGGCTGCAGTCACGCGCTGGTCAGGAAAGACTAGGGGCCCCTGGTGGGCGTGACTCCCTCTGCGTGGCCCCCCTGCCCCTCTGCCTGGACCACCCAGCTGTACCTGGGGCTTCCTTTTGGGAAGGTGACCCTCACAGCGGGAAGGCCTCCATTTCTGCTCCACTACCTGCAGGGGCTTTCGGAAGCCCCTCACCTTCTGTGAACTCAGGGTGGACAAGATGCCCCTGGGCTCACCTGAGCACCACCCAACAGGCTCGGCCACCCTCGTACTTGCAGAGCCAAGGCTCCTCTTGCTGGGAGTCAAGGATGGAGGCTGCCTTGGCTGGTCCCCTGGACTGTCCAGCAAAGTCCTCTCAAGACCATTACTGTCTCTGGGACAAGTTGAGGGCTGGTGGGTCAGTGTGGTGTCGCATGCTAGGATAAGCACTGGACCGCCAAGCACAAGGCCAATAGTTCAAACCCACCAGCAGCTCCTCGGAAACTCTGTACAGGGTTGGTGTGAGGCAGCACTTCACAAAATCACACATCTAGGAGCTTAGCCTTCGTGACTGTCGTCTAAAATGCCAGCTCGTAGCTTCTCCCACCTGCGTCTCTTGTCTACCAGGAGGCTGGTGGAGTCCTGGACTGGTGCTATAGGATAAACACTGGACTGCTAACCGCAAGGTTGGCGGTTCAAACGCACCAGCCGCTCCTTGGAAACCCTAAACAGGGTCACTGTGAGTGGGAAACGACTCCATAGCATACAACAGGTGTGTGTTCAGACCCAGGTTCTCGCTGTTACACCTCGGCGTGTGTTTGTAGCTCTGGAGCATGTGGCTTGTGTCAGGAATGTCTGAGCTGGGTCAGCACCCGTCCCTGGCTGTGGGACATCTGGAAGGGGTGTGGACGGGTGTGCTGGGCTTGGCTGAATGGCAGCATTCTGCCCCATCCACAGGTGACCTTAGCCTCTCCGCCGAGCGGCTCAGCGAGAAGCGGTCCCCCAGCGACTTTGCCCTGTGGAAGGCCTCCAAGCCCGGGGAACCATCCTGGGAGTGCCCCTGGGGAAAGGTGAGTGGAGTCAGGTGTGATCCTCAGCCTGTGTGTGTGCCCACCCCTCACCAGACCCCCGTCTTCCCATCTGCAATGGGGCTTCCAGTCACCTCTGCTCCCACTGAGGCCTCTGGGGCCTGACAGTCAGGAGGGGCAGGGGTGATGGCGTCCATGGTGGGAGGGCGTGCTGGAGTTCCGCAGTGGGAGACTTGTGGGAACTTCTCATCACGAGGGGCTCTTTCAAGCTCAGGGCTAAGGTTAGGCCTCAGCCACCCAGTAATCGGCTCGTCCAACCTCCAGGGCCGTCCAGGGTGGCACATCGAATGTTCCGCCATGGCAGGCACCCTGCTGGGGGCCTCCATGGACATCCACGGCGGCGGCTTCGACCTCCGCTTTCCGCACCATGACAACGAGCTGGCCCAGTCTGAGGTGAGACGGCTGCAGGGCAAGGGGTGGGAGGTGGGCTGGCCCAGTCCAAGCCAGGGGTGGTCTGGGGTCAGGGAGGCAGGAGGAGAGGTGGTCCAGCCCAAGCTGAGGAGGTTGGGGGGCAGGGGTCCATCACAGAGATCTCAGGAGAAGGGTCCCAACTTCTCCGATGGATTTCTCAGTTATGTCTGTGCCCTTTAGCAGCTGGGATTCCCGCTGTCTCATCCTGGGCCCCGGGAACCAGAGGCTCGGTATGGTGGGTCACTACCAGCTCCTTCGAGCCTCCTGGCCCGCTCCCAGCACCCTGAGCCCATCCTCAGCCCTCACCCTCCTTCTCCCAGGCCCACTTTGAGAACGACTGCTGGGTCAGGTACTTCCTGCACACGGGCCACTTAACCATCGCAGGCTGCAAGATGTCCAAATCCCTGAAGAACTTCATCACCATACAGGACGCCCTAAGGAAGCACTCTGGTAGGCACCAGCCGGGAGTGGGCATGCGCAGGGTGGCTCTGTAGGATCAGCACTGGACTGCTCACCACAACGTCAGCAGTTCCAACCCACCAGCCGCCTCCTGGAAACCCTGTGCAGGGTCGCTCTGAGTCGGGACCGACTCGACGGCACTCATCAGCAACGGGTGGTGGTGTGGTGTCTCCCCAGCGCGGCAGCTGCGGCTGGCCTTCCTCATGCACGCCTGGAAGGACACACTGGATTACTCCAGCAACACCATGGAGTCTGCCCTTCAGTACGAGAAGTTCATGAACGTGAGTCCCTCCCCGACGGGCGGCGTCCTGCGTCCAGACAGAAGGGGCACAGGCGGCGCCGCTGCATTCTGGGGGAACTGACTTCTTCAGACCCTCATCTGGTCACCATGCGGCACAGCTCCTGGCTTGTACAAGGGGGCTTCAAAACGCTTGTGGGGAAAGCCCCTTCTCATTCCTTTCCATTTACCCATGAACTTTCTGTAGCGCCCCCCACTCCCCAGTTCCTGCAGAGGTAGAGCTGCTAAGACTGAGTTTAAAAGCAGGCAGCACGGGGAAGCAGTGGACTAGGTGGTGGTGCATTGTGGGGGGTGACGACCAGTGCCGTGAAACCAAACGTGTGTGAATTGTCAGACAGAAACCTGCCGTGCTCTGTCAGCCTTCACCCACGTCACAATAAGCGGGGTGGAAAAGCAGGTGAAGACGGGGCAGGTGCCCCTCGCAGCCCTCGTGTGATGGGAACGCTTCATGGCTCTTCACAGCCCGGGAGCAGACCTCTGTGGACGGGAGAGCTGCCCGAAGGCCACTCAACGGCGTTTTCTAACTTCTAGGAGTTTTTCTTAAACGTGAAAGACATCCTCCGTGCCCCCGTGGACGTGACGGGGCAGTTTGAAAAGTGGGAAGAGGAAGAAGCCCAACTGAACAGAAAGTAAGGTGGAGCTCGTTCTTGGGGGCCTCACTGGCCCCGGCGCTCTGCCTTCTGGGTCGACGGGTGGAGGGGGCAGAGACACGACCACACACATTCGACAGATGTGGAATCGTGGGCGCTGATGGATGGGCAGCGGTCATGTCTCTGAAAGATATGTGTACAGGATGCTGAAATGACAAGCGTTTTGTTATAAATGCAAGGATCAGTCAAAAAGTACTGCTACGAGGGTTCCCGTTCATACACACACTGATTTATTCCAAACAAAACGAGTTTAAACATGTCTCTGTGATCTGTGGGCAGCTGCAGACACGTTCTCTCAGCAGTGCCCCTGTGTTAGTCTTGTTAGGGATTCTTCAACAAAAGGTCTACCCCACACAGTGTCTTTGAGGGCATCCGCTGGGCCAGCTCAATTCAAGGCCAAACGGTCAGCTCTGCAGGCTAGAGAGGCGGTTTTGGGGAGCGTCATCTTGAAAGATTTTCTCAAATGACACAGGACAGTGATGTGGTTTTATGAGGAAGAAGTTTTAAGAAAATTGGAAAGTGTGTGGGTGAGGAACAGGCGGTTCATGCAGGGTCTCAGAACTTATTTTCCACACTCAGAAGACGTGTCAGAGGAGCACCATCTGAGCCCCTCGGGCGCCCACACTGCCGCTTTTGTGTGGTGTCGGCTGCAGAGCGTGGGATTCTTGGGGGAATCACTGGAGGTGGAAAGCACCCCCTCCGGAGCGTAGAGACCGGGATGGAGGCTGTGCTGAGAAACAGTAGTTCTCCGTTTAGGTGTTTCTGCCTCGCAGAGCTCCGGTCATCCTGTAGCAATACTTTCTAACTCACCCTCGTGTGCTAGCCGCCCATGGACGGTCCCAGCCACTGCGCCTCCCAGCAGTCGGACCGCAGCGTCTTGGTTGTCTCTGGTCGAGGCTGGGCCTGACTGCTGCCTCCTCCTCCTCTTCCTCGTCCTCCAGCTTCTACAGCAGAAAGGCAGCCGTGCACGAGGCGCTCTGTGACAACGTGGACACTCGTACTGTCCTGGAGGAGATGCGGGCCCTCGTCGGCCAGTGCAACCTCTACATGGCAGCCCGGAAGGCGGCCCGTAGGAGGCCCAACCGCGGCCTACTAGAGAGCATTGCCCTGTACCTCACCCACATGCTCAAGGTGAGCTCCCACCCGGGGAAACTGAGGCAGGAGCCCCCCTGCCCAGGTCCTGGGCCCTCGCGGCAGAGCACACCTGGCAGGCTCTGTGTTACCTCGGCCTTGTCGGTCCCCATCTCGGTCCTGCTCTTTCTCGGCCTAGATCTTCGGAGCCATCGAAGAGGACAGCACTCTGGGCTTCCCAGTTGGAGGACATGGGACCGGCCTCGATGTGAGTAAGATGGCTGGGGTCCCATGAGACCCTCTCCTGGCCTGGGGTGCCCAGCCTCTATCTGGCTTCCAGTGCCATTGCTCCACCAGCTTGTTGCGTCTTTGTGTCCTGTCTCGGTCACTCTCTATCCTGGTGTGATCGCACACGTCACACCCCACGTCTAGTGTTGGTGTTGCTCCTGGGCACTGCAGTGGGCTGGTGTGTCCAGTAGAGCAGGAGGACGAGGGTGGCCCCAGCCGTGGTGCCCACCAGCAGCTCTGCCCTCCCGCCGGTGCCCTCGGTAACCCAAACGCTCTCCCATCAGCTCGAAGCCACCATCACGCCATACCTGCAGGTCCTGTCGGAGTTCCGAGAGGGAGTGCGGAGGATCGCCAGAGAGAAGAAAGGTGGGCGCCTCCCCACATGGGTTTGTGCCATGGGGGGCGGCTTTCCTGTTTGGGGTGTCCGCCGTACCCCTGGCCCACCTCCTCTCGAGAACTCAGGCATGGCCACCCACAGGGTCTATAGACACAGTTGTCCCACCTGAGGCCACTATGTGACTTCCTTCAAGTTAGGACTTTGGGGGCCCCTGGGTGGAGGTCAAGGTGAATGCTGTGTGCCTTGGTGGGGCAGGCCCCGGTGGGCTCCCTGCTGACACCCTGGGGTCCTAACAGCCAGTTTGTCCCCACAGTCCCCGAGGTTCTGCAGCTTAGCGACACCCTGCGAGATGACATCCTGCCTGAGCTTGGGGTCCGGCTAGAAGACCACGAAGGTGCTGTGAGCTCCAGGGGCCTCGGGGGGCCAGTCTGAGGGCACGTGCATGTGGGGGCCTTTCTGTCCCTGTCTCCTCAAATCCTCAGAGGCCCATGTTCTCAGTGACGGTGACATCAGGGCTCACGGCCTCCCTCACAGACACAGAACACGCTGCCTTTCTGGTGGTTTCTCCATCCATTGCCTAACTCACGTCCCTCCTGGAACGTTCAGGCCCAACAGCCGGCCCGCAGAGATGCTCAGACCCGGAAACCCTCTCCAGTGTCCAAAATGTCCTGGTGTGGCGCTGTAGGCTAAGCACAGGACTGCTAACTGCAAGGTCGGCAGTTCAAGTCCACCAGCTGCTCCTCCAAAACCCTAACCAGGGTCACTGTGAGTCAGAAGTGACTTCACGGCACACAATAACAGCTACATCAAAGAGTCCTGGTGTGGCACTGTAGGATAAGCACAGGACTGCTACCTGCAAGGTTGGTGGTTCAAACCCATCAGCCGCTCCTTGGAAACCCTAACCAGGGTGGCTACATGTCAGAACCAACGGCAGCGGGTTTGGTTTCAGCCATAAGGAAGGGTCCGACCTGCTGTCACAGGCGTCTGTCTTGTCCCTGAGCCTCAGGTCCCCATGGGTACAGCCTGTGGACAGCAGGGGTGGGGGGTGGGCTCCAGGGAGCCTCCACGTCATCCAAGCACCTGCTTGTTTTTCAGGACTCCCCACTGTGGTCAAACTGGTGGACAGAGAGACCCTGTTAAAGGAAAGAGAAGAGAAGAGAAGGGTGAGTGGAAGCCGTGGGCCGGGGCTGCCCTGAGCGCGTCAGACGGTCACAGTCCTGGTCACAGTCTTGGAGGGCATGACCGTCAGGGAAACAGAGAGAAAGTCACAAGATGGGCAGCGCTGTGGTCGTCTGGTAACGATAAAGTGAAAAGATCTGTCTTTTTTTAACATGAGTGGTAATTAGTGAACTTCACTGACTTGTGTGCAGCCCTGGCGAGGCTCTGTAGGACAAGCCCTGGACCTCGAGGTCACTTTGAACCTCAAGGTCAGAGGTTCAAACTCACCAGCTGCTCCTCGAAAACCCTATATGAGGTCGCCATGAGTCGGAACCGACTCCTTGACACTTACTTACCAACAAACCACAAGTGACCTGGAAGGAGCCCTGGTGGCTCTGTGGGTTAAGCGTTGGGCTGCTCAGCACAAGGTCGGCAGTTCAGGCCCACCAGCCGCTCCTGAGGAGAAGGATGAGGCTGTGTACTCCAGTAGAGACTGACACCCGTGGAGACCCTCAGGGCCCTGGGGTCACTGGGGGGCTGTAGGTCTCCTCACCCATCCCTCTGCCCTGAGCCCTCGCCCTGCACACCCCCACCCCACGCTCCCTTCTTGGCCCCGTTCTTCATTGGTGCCTTACCCGGTCCCCAGGTGGTTCCATTACCTGTTTAGCTGCTGATCGGAGGTTGGAGGTTCGTGTCCACCCCGTGTCTTCAAGGCCTGGTCATCTGAAACACTGGCCCCTGTAAACCCTGTGGGTCAGTTCTACTCTGACGTACAGTGAGGCGTCATGAGTCGGAGACTCTTGGATGTTGGCCAGGGTTCAGAATCCAGTCCCCACTCAGGGACCTAGACATCCAGGGCTCGGGGCCCAGTGTCCACTCAGGGACCTAGACATCCAGGGCTCGGGCCCAATGTCCACTCAGGGACCTAGACATCCAGGCCTCAGGGCCCAGTGTCCACTCAGGGACCTAGACATCCAGGCCTCAGGGCCCAGTGTCCACTCAGAGTCCTAGACATCCAGGGCTTGGGGCCCAGTCCCCACTCAGGACCTTGGCGTCCTGCAGGGAGGACAGTAATGTGCCCCTGGAGATGAGGGGACAGAGTCCCCCAGACTCCGGCCCACTGCTAGCTTTACCACCTCAGCTAGGGAACCCCAAGCCCCACAGATGCAGTGTGTGTCCAGCTACTGGGTGATCCTCCGCTGGGCAGTGAGCCCCCAAACCCAAGGGGCCAGAAGTGAGGCTTCTCAATTCCCCATCCCAGGCTCACCTCGTACCCACACCAGAGATCCAGCCACAGTTTCAGGCAGGTTGAAACCCGCCTCCCCACATCCCGCTAGGCCTGTGCGCCCCTGCCCTGCCGACCTCAGCGCTGACCTGCGTGTGGGTCCTCCACCCCCCTGCCCTGCTGACCTCAGCGCTGTCCTGCGTGTGGGTCCTCTGCCCCACTCAGTGGGGGTCCCCAAGTCCAGCCTGAGTCTGGCTCAGCCCCGGTCGGTGTCTCCTCTTGTCCACATCTGTTCCTCAGGGCGCCGCGGCTGCCCGGCCTGTCCCCTGGGGCCTGGGGTCTACAGCTGAGGCTCATAGAGCTCCACCGGAGGGTTGGGGGTCACGGTGAGGACGACAGAGCTGGGGTGCTCTCTCACTGGCCCATACGGCTCTCCTAGGTTGAGGAGGAGAAAAGGAAGAAGAAGGAGGAAGCTGCCAGGAGAAAGCAGGAGCAGGAGGTATGGTCTCGGGGGGAGAGTCCCTGGGCAGAAACACAGGCCCCCTCCCCACATCCTCCCAAAGCACCCTCCAGGGCTTCTGGACCCTTAGACCAAGTATGAGGTCAAGGTGTTTCTGAGGGTGTGGTAGGGACAGCTTCTGGAATTTAACTCACCCCCTTAGGCTGAGCCCCCTCCCCACCTCAGCACCCCAAGTGTGGAGGCTGACCGTGGGGTGTGTGATGGGGGTGTCCCCTCTCAGCACTCTGAGTGTAGACACTGACCGTGGGGTGTGTGATGAGGTGTCCCCTCTCAGCACCCTGAGTGTGGGCACTGACCGTGGGGTGTGTAGATGGGGGTGTCCCCTCTCAGCACCCCAAATGTGGGGACTGACCGTGGGGTGTATGATGGGGTATCCCCTCTCAGCACCTCGAGTATAGGGGCTGCTAGTAGGGTGTGTGATGGGGGTGTCCCCTCTTAGCACCCCGAATGTAGGGGCTTTTGGTGGGGTGTGCCACATCAGTAGTGGTGGGTATGAGCCCTGTCTTCCCCGTGGGTTCCAGGCAGCAAAACTGGCAAAGATGCGGATCCCCCCCAGCAAGATGTTCCTGTCAGAAAGTGACAAGTACTCCAAGTTTGACGACACGGTGAGAACGACTTCTCCTTTGGGGTCCTGGGGAACCCTGTCAGGTTTGGCAGCCCATTGGAGTGCAGGCCCCTGGCCTCGGCCGAGTACAGGCCTGGCCCTAGGCATCGGTGTGGCCCGGGCTGAGCTCAGGGTGACAGTGGACCGAGGCTCCCCGGGGCTCAGGGCTGCCATTCCCCGACTCCTCATGCTGGCTGCAGCTTGCCTCTGACCTTTAGACCACTGGCCTCCCCGCCCTCAGGCCCTCCACCCCAGATAGCTGTTCTCCTGTCCATCTCTCAGTGGCCAGACCCGGAGCAGTATGCGCCCAGGCAGCTGATGGGGTCGTCTGCCCTGCTTCCTGGTGGCCCTGTGGTGGATGGCTGCCCACTCTCCTTCCTGTCCCCCCTATACACATCCTCTGTGTGTGTCTGACCGCTGCCCACGCCTGTCCCCAATGCTGATGTGCCATTTGCCTCCCACCACCAGGGCCTACCCACACACGACACCGAGGGCAAGGAGCTCAGCAAAGGCCAAGCCAAGAAGCTCAAGAAGCTCTTCGAGGCTCAGGAGAAACTCCATGGGGAGTACCTGCAGATGGTGCAGAACGGGACGGCGCAGTGAGCTGCACCGGTGCCGTGAGCGTGCTCCGCCGCCTCTGCAGCCCACGGACAATAAATGCCTTCAAATGCGAGGCCCAACTCTCTGTGCCGTCCACTCTGCTGGCTCAGCCCCGACCATGTGGTCAGTGGGCCCCTATCCCACACGGACAGCTAGCCCATCAGGAAGAGGAAAAAGAGGTTGCCTAGCACCCTTTCCGTTTGTGACCAAATCCCTGTCCACTCAACAGCATGGTCCCTGGCCAGCTGTCCAGGACCCCTGTCAACGCCTGCCAACCAATAGCTGCATGGCCGGCAGACGAGATGAGGGATCAGGAGGCTTGACTGAGGAGGTTGTGGCCGGAGCCCGTGGCTGCCACAGCAGGTCCCAGACAGGGCTCCCTCCGGACAAGCACCACATTAGCGGTGTGGAGGGAACGGGAGGCAGCCGGCCCCGGGGGGTTTCCAGTGTGACTGCAGCCACCCGCGTGCCCGCAGCCCTCTATGTGAACACTCATGCAATGTAAAGGACATGTGTCAGGGTGTTTGCAGGAGGGGGGCCACCTCAATGGTCAGGGGGCTTAGATCAGTTTGGGGATGTCCACACCACATGCCCAGCCTGGGAGCTAAACAAGTCAGGAATATGTTCCCTGAAAGAGTACTGTCCCGGGGGCCTACTGTGTAACAGTCACCCCAAGACAGCGGCCTGACCCCATCTTGTTATGGTGGCCTCGCTCACCCCTCACAGGTGGTCACCGTCCTTCGGGCTGGGCTGAGGGGTCCATCGATCAGCTCCACATCTCTCCCTGTGGTGCAGCATGGTGGCTTCAGGGAAATGGAGCTGTGTCCGGGGCAGCCCAAGCTCCAATGGCCAGGGTCCGGGGGAAAGAGCAAACCAAGGCCATGTGGCCTTTAGGGTCCCAATGTGACTTCCACCCGACTGTGAGAGGAAGGAACACAGGCAGACCCACTGCCACTCTCGCAAGACTGTTGGACAGAGTGGAACTGCCGCTGTTCTCTTCAGAGCGTCTGGTGGGTTCAAACCGCCAGCCTTGACGTTAGCCACACACGGGGCTCCTTTAGGGAAGTACAGATGTCCACCGAGCAAGGTCACAGTGGCAAAGCTAACTGCCCAGAGTCAGCAGCAGTCTCCTGACTTCAGAGCAGGGAGTGTGGCTGCTCATCCCTAGTGGGGTCCCTGGTTCCGGGTGGGTACGGATGGTGTTTGCTTTGTTGGTAGCCCAAAGGTTGACTGTTGGGACCCACCCAACAGCTCTGTGAAGATGACAGCCGGCGTTCACATGTCACATGGGGGTCTCTGAGTCACCGATCAACAACAAAACAAGTACCCAGGGTGAGAGGGGATCCAGTGAGGAGACGTGTACCCAGGGTGAGGGGTGGTCCAAAGACATGTACGCAGGGTGAAAGGGGATCCAATGGCTCTAAGTGGCGATGCTGGATTGCTATTTTCATACAGGTGCATTGAGGACAAAGCTAGTTAGTGTGATCTAGTTAGTGTGATCGTCAGCAACTGAGCTTTTAGTAATTGTGAACTGAAAGTCTATTGTCACCAAGCCAACTACAACCCACACAGACGGCGTCCTGGGGTGTCCAGGTCAGTGTTCACAGGAGCAGGCTGCTGAGGAGTGGCCAGTGGGTGTGAACTGCTGACCTTGCAGGTATCCGCTGTGCTACTCGGGTTCCTCAGTAAATCACAGACATTCAGGGGAAGCGCTGCCCTGTGGATTACGAACTGGAGAAACCGAGTGTGAGCACGCGAGTCTTACAAACGTCCACAAGAGGGCTCCCAAAGGCCCATGGGAAAGTGCTATTCTGATTCCATTTTCCCAGGAGCTTTTTGAAGCTTTGGCTATATTTCCTGCTGGGTCCACCTAAAAGGGGAGAGAGGCAAGGACACCCCAGGTGCCCAGATGTGGGGCTCTTGGTATTTCTCCTGTCCTTGGCTGCTTCCGGCTCTGGGTCAGAGACAGTACAGGGAGATCCTGAGGCCAGGAAATGGATTGAGGACACAGGACAGGAAAGCCGGGAGCAGGGTTCTGTTATGTACATAACACTCCAAACGCAGCTACAGGGGCTGGTGTGATTGTAGGGCCGGCACTAGGGAGACCTTGCCATAGGACAGTACTGGGCTCTGGTGGCCACAGGAATCGACCCTTGTGGTAAATGACACACACCTACACAGACGGTGCTAACAGCAGCCTTCTGGTCCCCAGGCTTTAGTGATGGAAGACGCCCCTGGGAGCTGCAGACAGTTTGCACTCGGCTATTAGTGGCCATGAGAATAAAGCTCTGAACTGCAAGGTAGGTGGTTCAAACTCACCAGCTGCTTGGAAACCCTATAGGGTGGCTTTGAGTCAGAACTGACTCAATGGCACAACAATAAATTATCCCAAAGGAGTCCTGGTGTGGCTCTGTAGGATAAGCACTGGACCGCAAGGTCGGAGGTTCAAACACCAGCCGCTCCTCGGAAGCCCTATATGGAGTCTCTGTGAGTCAGAACCAGCTCATCAGCACTTAACACCACCATTATTCCAAAGATAGCTTGAACACAGCCAGCATCAGCTCAGAAGGAAGGCAGGCCCCACAATCTGCTCCCATAAACCACACCTCACAACAGGTCACTGACAGGCAGACTCCATTCAGCAGGGACTTTTTATTCTTATGAAAGTTGTCACGTGATCAAGAGGGACCAGTCCCTGGAAGACATCATGCCTGGTAAAGTGGAGGGTCAGTGAACAAGAGGAAGACCCCCCAATGAGATGGGTTGACACAGTGGCGGCCGCGATGGGCTCAAACTTGGGAACAATTGTGTGGACTGCACAGGACTGGGCAGTTTCGCTCTTGTACACAGGGTGGACGTGAGTCGGAACCGACTCCGGACTTGATAGCACCTCACAGCAAGATGTGCCCATGAGCCCTAGTTGTGCATTGTTTCAGCACTGATGTTAACGGAGTGGTCAGCAGGTGGAACCCACCAGCCTCTCGCTGCGGTAGAAGGACGTGGCAGCTTGCTTCCAGGACATTTACAACCCCACCCTGTAAAGGGAAAGTGTTCCCATGAACAATGCCCGAGGCGGGACCCTTGCACATGCAGGCACCCCCGGGTCCCACCCAGGTCCCCCCACGTCCTGTTTACAGGAAGGAGGTAGACTGGACGGAGGGGCAGGGAAGTGAGGCAGGAAGCCTCAGCCGCGGGAACATCCAGGCGGGGACGCCTGAGTTGGAGTGGCCATCAAGTCCCCTGCAGATGACCCAGAGCCCACTCTGGACCCAAGGAGCCCAGAGGCAAACACACCGGAGTGAGCATGTGCCCCTGGTTCGCTTTGGGGTGTGATGGTGGCCTGTGAGTCAGTGTTCTTCAGAACATCGGGGTCTGTCCCTGAGGTTCTCCCCATTTCTCTGGGTCTCTGAAACTTTTAACCATCAGACACTTTTAAAAACAAGGCCCATCCTGCATTTCCCCCTCAGCGCAGCTGCTTGGAAGGGGTTGCAGTGTGTCCGAGGCCAAGCCCAGTCAGGGCACGGTCAGTGCTCAGGGCTGCAGCAGGCTGAGAGCCTAGCTCAGATGTGTTGGTGACCCTGGGCGGCCCAGAGGCCAGGGTGGCTTGTCAGAACAGAAATCTACTGTGACCAGTAATTCAAATTCTGGGTGTCAGGACTCTGCTCCCTGATCCGTGCCTCTCCTGACTTCGAGTGGCCCCAGTCGCGCATCACATGTCCTCCCCATGTCCCTAGTCAGTCCTCTTGTAAGGACACCACTCAGGTGGGATTAGGACGCACCCTGCCCCTGTGTGAGCTAAATCATCAGGCAAGGCCTCGTTCACAGGAGAGGTGGGGGATGGGATGTAGGCCCACAGCGTGACACCGGGGCCCAGGCTGTGGCCTCGGCTTCACTGGCCTCTGGAACAGATGTCCTCATGCCTGGTGACTCGGCTTCATTCGCACAGTGACGGGCTCACACAGCTGGAAGAACCAGCTTGTGTTTCCCCTACACAGAAATCCTTGGCGTTTTTACTTGTAAAACACTGCACACTCATCAAGCACAATGGAAAGTTGCCCAATCCAAAAATGACGGCTTTCCTACAGCCCACTCTCCGAGGTCACCGAGAATAGCTCAGGGTGCGGTAACACATCTTCCCACCCCTCGTGAACCCCACTCCTTGATGGAGGAGACTTTCAGGGGTCCAGCTGCCCCAAAATCCAACTCACTGTCATCAAGTCAATGCTGACTCACTGTGACCCTATAGGACAGAAAAGGGCTTTCAAGGCTGGACATCTGTGGAAGCTCACAGCCTCGGGTTTCTGTCTCTGAGCAAATGGTGGGCTTGAACCACTAATCTTGCTGTTAGCAGCCTAGCACTTGACCCTGTGCCACTGGGGTCCCTTCCTCTAGCCTCATGAGGCTTCTTTTGCACACCCAGAGATGTACCAGGCAGTCCCTCCATCTTGTCAGAGGTGGACAAAGAGGCAAAGACCAAGGTGGTCAGTAACCAGCTGCGGTCCTGTCTACTCCCACTCACGTTGCCCCATGTGGTCAGAGTAGAACTGTACTCCACAGGGTTCTCAGTGGATGATTTTCATAAGTAGATCCCACTCATGGTGTCCCCGTGTATGTCAGAGTAGAACTGTGCCCACAGGGTTCTCAGTGGATGATTTCTCATAAGTAGATCCCACTCATGGTGCCCCCATGTGTGTCAGAGTAGAACTGTGCCCACAGGGTTCTCAGTGGATGATTCTTCATAAGTAGATTCCACTCATGGTGTCCCCATGTGTGTCAGGGTAGAACTGTGCCCACAGGGTTCTCAGTGGATGAGTTTTCATAAGTAGATTCCACTCATGGTGCCCCATGTGTGTCAGAGGAGAACTGTGCCCACAGGGTTCTCAGTGGATGATGTTTCATATGTAGATCCCACTCATGGTGCCCGTGTGTGTCAGAGTACAACTGTGCCCCCAGGGTTCTCAGAGGATGAGTTTTCATAAGTAGATCCCACTCATGGTGGTGCCCCGTGTGTGTCAGAGTAGAACTGGGCTCCACAGGGCTCTCAGTGAATGATTTTTCATAAGTAGATTCCCCTCATGGTGTCCCCGTGTGTGTCAGAGTAGAACTGTGCCCACAGGGTTCTCAGTGGATGATTCTTCATAAGTAGATCCCACTCATGGTGTGCCGTGTGTGTCAGGGTAGAACTGTGCTCACAGGGTTCTCAGTGGATGATGTTTCATAAGTAGATCCCACTCATGGTGCCCCCATGTGTGTCAGAGTAGAACTGTGCCCACAGTGTTCTCAGTGGATCCCACTCATGGCGCCCCTGTGTGGTCAGAGTAGAACTGTGCCCCACAGGGTTCTCAGCGGATGGTTTTTCATAAGTAGATCACCAGGCCTTTCTCTGGAGGCACTTCATCTTGAAGCAATGGACCGTGTTCATCATGGTGGGTTGGCTGGCCATTCCAACACTGGGCCTAGGCAGGTTATCCAGCCTGTGCCTCCATCTCCTCTTGGGTGGGATTAGGTGATAACTCCATGTCCCCTTGTGTCAGCCACAGTCCCCAGACCTGGGGGAGAGGAGGAAAGGCATACGGTTTAGTTCAAGAGCTGGGAAGACAAAACCCCAAAAGTGACCAGGAGTTTCGGGGGTACCCTATGTAGCCCCTATTCTCTGTGTAGCCTCACTCAGCTTCATGTGGCCCCACCTTGACGGGACCTCACAGTGGGTTGTTGTTGTTGTTGTTGTTAAGTGCCATCGAGTCGATTCCGACCCATAGCGACCCTGTATAAGGTTTCCAAGGAGCAGCTGGTGAGCTTGAACCACCAACCTTGCAGTTCAAACGGCTTTGCAGTCTGGCGCATTAACCCACAGCGCCACACCAGGTCTCCTCACAGCGAGTAGTAGGGTGCTATACAAACATACAGAGCCGTAAAGCAGCATGGCCAGACTGCGGACAGTGTGGAGGGTGACCACCAGGACTCTCCACCCATTAGGCCGGAGGAGAACCTGAGCAGGGACCCCTGGATAAGCCTGTGGAGGTTCCTCACAGCGTGTCCTGTTGGATGAATGGCCAGCAGTGAAGGACCCAGGAGACTCGTGGGCACAGGGAAAGAGAGACTAGGGCATCTCTCAGTATGGGCATGCCCTCCTCCTCCAGCTGGTGGGCTGCTTCTTCAGAAACAGGCCGCTGAGTGGGGTGACAGAAAGAAAGCACCTGTTCCCTCGGCCAGAGGGACCACTAGGGGGCAGGTGCCTTCGCCCAGGTCCCAGAGCACCCACGGCTGTGATGGTGTCAGCTCTCAGCGAGGGGACAGTTGGAGGCCGACCCAGCTCTGTGCTCTGGATGGTGGGCCATCTGGACCAGTGGGCATCACCCTGCAGGGGCTTCTTCCAGGGGGTTGGGCCACAAACACCGAGCACCAGGGTCTCCAGGAGACAACATCCATGCCGGGTCCCAGCTGTGGCAACGACTCCTTCAAACATTCCCCCTTTAGAGAGAAAATACTGTCACATCACAGGGCAGGCATCCAACTCCCCAACAGAGCCTGTCTCCAGTCCCTGGGGCTGCCACAAGGTGAGTGGCTGGGAAGGACAGGAATTTCTTGTCTGGAGGACTGAAGTCCAAAATCGGGGTGTTAACCAGGTCAGCTCCTGCTGGTGACCTTGAGAGGCACTGTGGGGCTCAGGCGGACAGACATGGACCTTGTGGGGCAGGGAGACAGCATCCCATTTCCCGGTGTCTGCCAGCAAGCTTTGGTGTGCCTGGAAGCTTCCAGATCATTCCTCCTGGGGAAACATGTTGTCTGTCTCCCTCCCGAGAGGGCTCTATTTTCTCCTCTGTCCCTTATAAGACACCAGTCATGCCATTGAGGTTTGTTGTCTTTTTACTTTTGAATGTGATTTGGGTGAAAGTTTACAAAGCAGATTGGTTTCCCATTCAACAGTCCACACTCCCTTTGTTTCCTGACATTGATTGCAATCTCATCACGTGACCACAGTGTTTGCATTTCCTCCCTCTGTTTCCCGTTCCTGCCTTCTGAGCTCTTTCCCTGGACACATGCTGCCCTTTCCGTCTTGATAGTAGGACTGATTGTTCTAGGGAGTGCATACCTCTCCCTGGGGTTACTGTTCATCTTACAGGCTTGTTTATCCTTTGGCTGAAAGCTGAGCCTTGGGGTGACTTAAAGGCTTAGAGGATGAGTAGGGGCCAAGTCTGTTTTGGAAGGTGGTACAGTCAGAATGTTCCTGGGAGGAGATGATGGTGAAACTTGTCGGCAGGGATCAGTCCCTGGAGAAGGACATCATGCTGGTAAACTGGAGGGTCAATAAAAAGGAAGCCCTCTCCCCAACGAGATGATGGGTTGGCACAGCAGCTGCACCAATGTACTCAAACAGCAATTGTGAGGTGGGCGCAGGACCAGACGGGTTCATTCTGTTAAGCACAGGGTCGCTTTGAGTTGGAACCGACTTGACAACATTCAAAAAGTCAGTCTCAGGGTTCCACCGGTTTCCACCAGGCCTGGTCTTTATGATTTGAGGGTTTTTTTGTTTGTTTGTTTGTTTTTAATATTTTATTGTGAATTGTGTGATAGTTTTACATGGGAGAACATTCGTTTTACGTTCATCCTATCGTTTATCATTTCATTGCCATGGTTACAATCCCCTCCATGCATCATCAGCCAACCACAGTGTATACCCTGCAAGCCTGCACCCCGGTTGTCAGCACACAGCCCCTCTCCCTCTCTGGGTCTAGAGTCCCCAACTGCTCCATCTCTCCATGTCATCATCTCTGCCTCCATCTCAGGGATCACTGCTTCTCTGGGTAGGGTCCCGCTCTCCGCTCTTCTCCCTTCATGGTCCCAGGGACCTGCTCTCCTAGACTGAAAAGTTAATATGATTTGAGTTTTATTCCACAGTTTCTCCCACTGTATCCAGGCCCTCCTGTTGAGATCCTTCCAGAGAAGTAGGTGTGGGAGGCGGGCACCGTCTAGTTCTGGTCCCAGGGCCAAGGAGGCTGGGATCACTGCATCAGGCCTTGGGTTCATAGGTTCCTTGTGTGTTTCATCTTCCTCACTCTTTTTGGCTCCTGGTGCAGGTCACCAGTCATAGAGAACTAGGACCCCCCCTTCCTCCAGCTTGACCTTGATAATGTCCCTGATAGCATTTACAAAGACTCTCTTCCCCAAACAAGGTCTGGTACACAGGTCTTTGTGAGGACACAGAGGACCCATCACAGACACGAACTTGACTCCTGCAAGACTGTTCTGCACCCCACTTCTGCCCAAGGACCAGGACAAGAGCTCTCGGGGGTGTTGCAGCTGTCCAGCTGATGGCCACTCAAATGCTGGGA